TATATATATATATATATATATATATATACACATATACATATATAGGCGTAGTGGCGGAAGTGTTGTCCTTATGTCCAATAACTCAGCGTGTTATTGTTTCAGATTCGAAATTTTTTGGGAGAAAAATTTACAAGACGTGTCCCACTTCCGGAAGGTGTTACAGCAATGATGTCCGCCACCCAGAAGGACGAATTGATCGTTGATGGCAATGATTTACAACTTGTTTCACAAGCAGGTCAGTTATAATTCACTGAAAGAAATTAGGTGATTCTATATCAATTATTTTTAGTTCTATGTTCATGAATAAGAGTCATACACTTTGCTAATATCCGAGGTTTCTCCATATTGATGGCTTCATGTTAGTTTCTTTATCCGCTAGACAACTTTTAATAGTCAAAACTTCTTACAATAATGAAGAAAAAGTTGACAGTTTACTTGTAACATGTCATTCAGTCGTTAGCGTAATTTCTATCGTTTATAAATATTGAAGTGTTGAAGGATTGAAATTAGTGTTCCCTTGGCGGATATTGAATATTGAATATGTATTCAAATATATTGAATATTTGAATATGTATATTGAAGCTGTATGTAGGAAGTCTTATGGCGGTGCTCAGCGTTCAAGTGCTAAAAAACATTCTGCTCTAAACTTTTGGACTCTTAATTGCAATTATTTAGGCGGAAATATTGCATACTTCACGGGCAGGTTGTAGTCATTATATTTCAAGCTGTACCGTTTCTTCTTATGTGGACTGACTGGTTAAATATTCTTTTCAGCTGCACGTATTCAGCAATCAACGACAGTAAAGAACAAGGATATTCGTAAATTTTTAGATGGTATATACGTCAGTGAGAAGACAACTATCGTTGATAATTAAATCATGCAGTGTTTTATTTGTTTCTTGTTTTTTTCTAATGTAATTGCCATAAAACTGTTGTATCATGCAGTTTTTCTGCCATATTGTCTCAAGTTTACGGAAGTTTAGGCGATTGTTTAAGCTTTGGTCAATTAATGCGACCCTGTCGATCTTTTGAAAGAGTTGGTTTGCTTAACGTTTGCGGATTTAATGAATATATTCCGCTAAATTTTTGATATAGTGTTAAATTTTGGCATCTAAAATTGCTGAGTAGCAAATGACTAGAGTTTTGACTATGGTTTGATGGGTCGCACGATGGGTGGACTCTTCCTTAGTTACATTATGCTGAATTTTTTTTACCCTATCCTCAATAAGGGGGTAAGAGTTTAGCTATTGAAGAGTGAAGTTTAAATAAGATAAGTAAATGATTTACATATGGCTTCCATTTAAATTACTTGGTTGACCAATAATTTTGAGGTATGGGGAGGGATGTCTCTTTCGATTAGATTTGAAAATTCGCACTTAGACTAGTAAGTGTATTTGGAAGGGACTGTTAAAGTTATTACGGAGTAGAAGGCGAGCTTAGTACTTCGTTATTATCTTTTTTCACAATAATCATTGCTGTGGCTGACAGATGTTCCTGTTATTTTAACTTCTGCTGTATGTTTGGCAAAGTTACACAGGGATTTGGACCAGAATCTACCTTGAATATGCTCTTACTGCAGAACAACGATAGAAATGCTTCATTTAAATATCTTGGCAGGAAGTCCACAATATACAAGGGAAAAACAAGAAACAAATTCCGGTTTTTACTATAACTGTAATAATTCTTATACATGCAGTGTAATGAAACGGCAGTTATTGCGCTTGAAAAAGAAGGGAGGTGCAGTCAAAATCTTCGGAATTTTAATTTACATGAAATGATGGGGAAGGAACACCGTTTATATAGCGCCGGTTCTGTTTTTTTTTTTTCCTCTGGAAACGTCTTCTGGTTACTTGATGTCAGTTTTCTGAAATAAAAGTCGGAAATTAATAATAGAGAATAATTCATAAAATCCCACAGATCCATTGTTTTTTTTTTTTTCTATTCGGATCTGAACACTTTTTCTGAATACTTCTTTAATATGCTTTTGCTCGATGTTTCCAACGAGTACTTCACAGACGAATGATCAAAAGAGATAAATAGTTTCGAAATTAGAATCTAGTCTCAGGTAATGTTTTAATCAGTCAGAGAAATTTTAGTAGTGGAGCAGAAAGGAAGACGAACAACTGAGACATTCTCAAAAATTTTCCCGAGGATTCAATAAGCGGGCGAAATGTGAGAGCTTTTAGGTGTTATTGGTACTCCCAATGTGCTTATCACATTGAATAATCGGGCGACAATTCTGATGCTGTTTCCGTTTAGGAAGATATGATTGAAAGTGGGTGAAAGTTCAAATGTCAAATGTGTATACAAATAAAATGTGCATATCTTACCACTTGTTTTTGAGACATACTTGGCATCTACTCACGCGGTCTTTCAAACCACCCGCTTTAAGTGTTTGTGACATCGGTTTTCGCCATTGTTTATTCTGGAAAGTAGATGTAGAGGACCTTTATGGAAGGATATTCGAAAGTTTGACCATTCAAAAATTACTTTATCGATGATGGCTAGCCAGAAACCGTGATTAGTTGCATAATAATTGCACGTTCCTCGGCCGTGGCATTCAATAAATGGTACTGCTCGGAATTCTTCCAAACAACTTCCTGGCGACTCCAAATTCTGTCCAGTTCCTTCGGCACCAGCAGCTGTATGCTATAAAGTAAGTATGACATACTTATCATAAGCTAAAGAATAAAAGGATATCAAGTCCAAAAAACCGAAACATACCATGACAAACGAATAACCGGAATACAGAGGAGACCATCCGTGTGGACATTGGGGTACATATGAATCTTGTGAATGTATTGCCAGGATTTGTGTTGGTACTTCGCAAACCGCACATCGCGAAATATATGGCCTTATAGCTGTACCAGACACCTGTAAAACCAAGAAATTGCGTCTTTCCAGGTAAATGTTAAAAAAAAAGGAATGCATAAGTACGGTGTTAAACTCACCGGATTCATCATCTGTGTCATTGGTTCTGCGGTGGAGAGCCAGAAGGAGTAGTCGTTCCTGCTGGAAACATGACAAACGCTGTTCAAATTGCAGAACATGAATGGCATTGGACTGAATTTCGATAAGCACGACCCTGGTTGACCTAAATTAATGATCATCACTTACAGTTGAATCCTTTTTGAGTCATATTTGAATGGAAACACCAAACAGAATGTCCCAGCATCTTCAGTCGCATTCAAAGATATGTGGGGAGATTTTCGGTGATCAGCGATCATGAGATGAATCAATAAAATAAAACTATTATTTGTCCATCTGATTTTCAGGCTATCTTGGTAACTTAAAAACCGCCTCACCAAGATCTTGACCACTAGCACGTCCATTTCCCTGTACGTACAGCAATGAATAACCACTCCATAACATTTGCGATCCAGCCGGACATCGTGGTATTTCAGCTGCCTGCGAATGCCTTGCGAAAGTGAAACCACGTGATGGTGCCCAGCCACCTGGTGGCCCTGGAAATCCGGGCGGTCCCGGTGGTCCTGCTTGCCCGACACGTCCTACTGACCCCGGAAATCCGTTCGATCCCATCTCACCCTTAGTACCTGGTATACCAGGAAGTCCAGAATTACCTGGTGGACCAGGTAGACCCGGAAACCCTGCTGGTCCTGGTGGTCCTCGCATGCCTAAAAATTCATTTAAATATTCTCTGCTATTATCTCATGGCTCAGGTCACTTTCAAGTTTGCACATAACTTACATAATTACATAATACATAATACATAACTGTAGGTGATTACTTAATCACCTATAATAAATTTCACAAATGAGCCTGATTGAGCAATATCCTGAACAGACAGCAAGTGTTACCTTGGCTCCCAGTTTCTCCTGGATAGCCTTTCTGTCCAGCTAATCCAGCAGATCCTTGCTCACCCTTAGGTGAATGCAAGAACTGATTATAAACAGCGGGTCTACCAGGAGGACCAGGTCTTCCAATTGGCCCCATCGGTCCCTGCAAACCTGGCACGCCTGGCAATCCATCGTCACCATGTGCTCCTGTAAAAACTTTTATCTTGTTAATATAAACTTCTAAGAAATGTCAGTCAGCTTCATACAACTAGAAGATACTCGGATTGCACCGAACCTTGGAATATAACACTGTACTCAGAATAGTTATTCTCAGAATAGTTATTCTATCAACTCAGAAATACTCAGAATAGTTATTCTATCAATTAAACCAAAGAAATATTTGTGGAGAAAATTAGTTAAGTAGGAAAACAAATACCTTTCTGTCCTGGGATACCGGGTAGTCCTGATAGCCCTACATTACCAGGATAACCTGGCACACCTGAAATACCGGGCACACCCTGTTCTCCCAGATATCCAGGAATTCCATCTTTTCCTGGTATTCCTGGCAAGCCGGAAAGACCTCTTTCACCTTTCGCGCCTGGAGAGCCATCCTTTCCTGCTGGTCCAGGTGATCCATGAGCTCCGTCACGACCTACAACATGTCATGTAAAATAAGTGTTCAACAATGAAAGAAGCAAAACAGGAAGTAATAGCTTGGATCTAATTTTATGAACGATAAGCATAATTACCTCTCTTGCCCGGAATCCCAGGAATGCCTTTTTCACCATGATAACCTGGGAGACCATCGGTACCACGCATACCAGGTGCACCAGCAATACCTGTTCTGCCTCCTTCACCAAATTCACCTTTAAGACCTGATAAACCAGGCTTGCCATCAATTCCAGGATAACCTGTATCTCCCGGTGGGCCTTGAACTCCTAAAAAAACGATTGTTTTGTTTAGCGGCAATTAAAAGTGTGAACTTCATATGTTACGTTTTCTGATAATTATAATCGCTACGAAAGTAATATTCTGTCAGTTCCTGTGAGACTTACCGAATCCAGGTGCTCCTGGCAGACCAGAAAGTCCATCATTACCTCGGACACCAGCAATTCCAGGGAAGCCATCCACACCTGCAGAGCCTGGAGCACCAGTGTCACCACGTAAACCTTTGATTCCTGGTATGCCTGGCAAACCTGCGCTACCCGCATCACCAGATATGCCTGGCAATCCAGATAAGCCCATTTCACCCTGAAATTGTTTGAAATACAACACTTCAGCCAGAGAGATGTTCTTTTGTTAAAAAAAAAACACATTTTCAAATCAATCTTCATTTACCAGAGAATATTATATTAACTAACCGGTGCACCGACTGCTCCTATTGGGCCAGCAGATCCAGGAGCCCCTGATTGTCCAACTTCTCCTTTTCTGCCGTCTGCTCCTGATTGTCCTCTTTGACCTTTTAATCCAGGCTCACCGGGAAGACCAGCATGACCTTTTTGACCCAACGTGCCATCTGGTCCAGGTGGGCCTTGAAGACCAGGGACACCTGGTAGTCCTGGCAACCCACGTTCACCTTTGACACCAGGTACACCTGGTTGTCCATCAAAACCACGTCCACCACTTCTTCCCACATCGCCTTGCTCACCTTTGCGTCCTGTGAAATAAGCGTTATTCTTCAGACAAACTATTAGCAGCAGGAAGAATTTTGTAAAATTGCATTAACAACATCACACTGATTACCACAGTGCATATTTAGTAAAATGCCTTTATCCAATAAGAAATAAACTTCGACACAGGTCACACCTGGATATCCAATCATTCCTGGCAAACCAGGAAATCCATCAGTTCCATCGATTCCATCTCTACCAGGTTCTCCTTGGGTGCCTTGCAAGCCTGGTAAACCAGGATAACTGTTTCCCATTGAACCAGATTCTCCTTTAGTTCCCGGTATTCCATCCTGTCCAGGCAGACCAACAGGGCCTTGTGGCCCCGGTAAACCGACGTCACCTGGCGATCCTGGATGAGCAAATCGTCCAGGTTCCCCAGGCATACCTTTTATGCCAGGCAAACCAGTAAGACCCGGAGCTCCAGATAAACCAGGAAGCCCTTCGAGTCCAGAAGCACCAGGTAGACCTGGTTCACCATCAACACCCTGTAATCCAGGTAGTCCATCAAGTCCACGATCTCCTGGTATACCAGAGAGACCGAGCTGTCCTGATACCCCATCTACACCTCGTTCGCCTTTCATTCCCGGATAACCGGGTACTCCATCTTCACCAGGAGATCCTGGTTTGCCGGGCGTTCCAACTTTCCCAGGCAAACCTGGCAGCCCAGGGAAACCTGCTTCTCCTTTAATTCCAGGCAAACCATTCTTGCCTGGAGCACCACTTTTCCCTTTCACTCCTGGAATCCCTGGGGTACCAATCTCTCCTGCTCGTCCTGGACGTCCTGTTTTTCCAGGTATCCCAGATAAACCACGTTCACCTTTTATTCCAGGGATTCCAACTAATCCAGGATAGCCATTTTCACCTGCAATGCATTCTCACATTCTTTGTTATTCACATTATTACATCAGAAAGTAACCTCTGCTTATCACAAAAATTCTATTTATTTCTCCCTTGAACTTCAGAAAACAAGGAAATGATTGTTACCCTTACCTTTCACACCTCTTGCACCAGCAACTCCTGTCTTTCCTTGTGCTCCTGGTTTTCCAGCATGTCCTCGGTAGCCAGGTCTACCGCTTTCACCTTTCACTCCAGGGAAACCAACTTGCCCGGTTAAGCCTAGACCTGGCTCTCCACGTAAACCTGGTAGGCCGCTGAGACCAGGAAAACCGCCTACTCCTGATAATCCTATTTCACCAGGAACTCCAGGATACCCATTGTCTCCCAGCAAACCAGAAAGTCCGGGGATTCCACTCTCTCCTGGCTTCCCAGGATATCCAATAATCCCGGGTTCACCAACTCTTCCTGGTAATCCATCGATACCGGGTGCACCTGGTAAGCCGGGAAGACCATCAGCTCCACGCGTTCCCTTGAGTCCTGGTGCTCCATCATAACCATCACGACCAACTAGACCTCTAATTAGACCACTGTATGGAGGTCCTTGCGGTCCCATCGGTCCAGGAAGACCTGGTAAGCCATCAGCACCTCGTTCACCTTTTGCCCCATCTAAACCAGGTGGGCCTGGATATGAATCACCTGGTGGTCCGATTGCTCCAGATAATCCAGGCTAAAATAATTTGCATTTCAGAAATATATGAATGAAGCAAATAATTTTAACTTTTTTAGAAATAATTTCGTTCTTAACATTCGGTATAAAAACCGAACGCTACTCGGCAACTGAAGCATTGAAAATACAAACTCACAGCTCCATCACGACCATGTTTTCCATTAATTCCAGCTAAGCCTTTTTCCCCCAGCAGACCAGGTGCTCCATCCAGACCTGATGGTCCGGGCAATCCATCTAGTCCAGGATTTCCTCGTCCTCCAGAAATACCTGAGAACAATTGTAAAATGATATAATGTGTTATGAAGAAGAATGAGCAATAAATTTCTCACTGATTTTGAATTGAGTTATGTCAGAAGTTTAAATTTTTAAAATACTGAATTTATAGAGCTTGTTGCCATCGGTAGTTTTGAAGTTGTCTGAAGTGAAACAAATTGCCTGATTCTCCTCGTTCTCCTTTGATCCCGGGGAATCCTCGAGGATTCTCCATGCCACCAAGAATCTCGCCCGCCTCGCCTTTCATCCCTGGGTAACCCGGTAGTCCTGGTAGACCTTCGGAACCCTGCAAAAACACCAAAATTACTGAACATTTCGTGCGTTTTGGCGGAAATTTCCAAGTCTTCAGCACCAATAAAAAAATTCTGAGAATAATCAATATGACATCAATACCTGTTGTCCATCCGAGCCCACACGTCCTGGTTTTCCAGCTACACCTTTTATTCCAGGAAGACCTTGATTTCCATTTGGACCCACTGGACCTGGATATCCTTCCTGACCTGGAAGACCGGCATCTCCCTTTTGTCCTGGCGTACCCGGTGCGCAATATCCGCAGTCATCACCCTTTTCTCCAGGATATCCTGTACCACCTGGTATTCCATCCAAACCTATTCGTCCATTCTCTCCAGGTGGACCTATTAGACCAACCATACCTGGTGGGCCAACTTTCGAAACACCAGTCCCAGGAAATCCTTTCAGACCAGCTAATCCAGGATCACCCACATCACCCGGCACTCCAGTAAAACCATCGCGACCAGGCCTTCCTTCCAATCCTGGTGGCCCTTGAATATCGAAGCCTGGTAAGCCTGGTTCACCCGTAATTCCACAGTCACCGGGGGTGCCCGGTGCTCCTGCATCTCCTACGTAACCTGGATTCCCATCTGCACCACGATCACCTTTCTCAGAAAAACCAGGTATACCACTCCGACCAGGAGGTCCTTGTGAACCAGGAGCACCATTTGGTCCTCGAGCGCCGACTGGGCCCATTCCACCTGGGATTCCTACAAAAATTCTTCATAAAATCACAGTTCGTCTTTTACATTCGTTATTGTTCATAGCTTTTGTAAGCGAGTAATTGTAGCACAAACCTGGTTGTCCTTTTTTTCCAGGTGCTCCATCAAACCCTTGCAAACCACGTGGTCCTGGCTGTCCTTTACCGACACCAAATTCACCCGGTGGTCCAGGCTCACCCTCCTGTCCGATTCGACCGTCATAACCCAATTCACCAGCAGCACCTTTCTGTCCCGAATAGCCATCGAGACCTGGTACACCTTGGATGCCAGTTTCACCTTTTTCTCCGATCAAACCCATAGGACCGTCTTTCCCTCGTTTGCCCTGCAAATAGAAAAGTATCGCCGATCGAAAAATTATCGAAAGTTTCTCAAATGCGCAAGATATCCACTGAGACGAGGACATCTGGTTTTTCGTGGAATAACCTTTGTGAAGTGAATAAAATCCGAATTTAGAGTGCGCTTAAAAGCAAATTGCTTTTAAAAGCAAATTGTCTTACTCTGGCTCCCAAATCACCAGGATCTCCTTTTTGTCCCTTGATTCCAGGGAATCCATGCACCCCATCACCTCCAGCAAATCCAGGAGGTCCAACCGGACCAACTCGTCCTTTCTCACCTTTCAAACCTATAATATTTTATTACGGTAATTTAACTACGGTAAAAAAAAAAACAATGGCAGTAGGACTTCACTTTCAAAGTATTGTGCCATTTTCCCAATAATACTTGACAATGTACCTGGTTGTCCCACAGGTCCTTGAATCACTTCCGTTTCTTCAGGAGCAGATGCACCAGCAAAACTGCCTGGTGGTCCAGGTGGTCCTGGTGGTCCTGCTAAACCTTTTTCACCTTTCATACCCGGTGTTCGAATTCCCATGCGTCCTTTTGGACCTTGAGGACCAGGGAAACCTGGTGGACCCTGCAAAAAAATTGCTGCAGATAGATCAAAGAATCTTATTGTCAGGAAAAAAGTTGGAGGATGTGACTTACATACGGTCCAGGATCTCCTTTCGCACCTTTCGGTCCAGGTAATCCAGACAAACCTGGTGTGCCAGGTAATCCAGCACGACCTGAATCGCCTCGTTCACCTTTTCTGCCAATTGAATTGATACCTCCTTCGCCTGGTGGTCCAGGGTATCCAGATCGACCTGGTTCACCGGGTGGGCCTCTTAAGCCTGGAGGACCCGCTAAGCCTGGTAATCCTGGTCTTCCCTGCAAAACTATAAATGTAATGAAGGGATGATGAGTGCAATGCTAATGGTTCCTTTGATGACTAGAAGTTACTGGTAAGTTTAGTGATAGCTACAATAGATGCAAAAACAAGACTACAGTCAAACAAAAGCAAAAATTTATCTCAATATAAACACTATTAAAGGTTGATTTCATTCGATCTATCTGTTCATTTGCATTAAACAGTGAACAGAGCGTGAACCAAAAAGTCTTAACTTTTTGATAATGGAGCTAGTTATTAAAGGTCTTCAGAGATGGCAGCTGACAAATCTTGGTGGATTCAAAAAGCGAAAGAAATCTCATTCAGGAGTAACAGTTCAGATTTTAATCCTTAAAAAATTCTACCCTAGGAAACGATACATACTGCAAGAAATAAAAAATTACATT